ATAGTAGATAGTCAAATGTAGGGTTTTACTTCGTAGTTTTTTTAAAGAGCAACACCATATTGCTCAAATAGAGTTGACTCTTGAAAACTATAAAGTCATCGAACATCCCTATTCTATTAAAGGGCTTCCCTAAGTCATCTTAGGCATGCCTTAGAGAGCTGTAGATGATGGAGTTCACTGTTGTCCGCGGTTACTCTAAAGGAAAAACTTTTCTTACGTTGTCTTCCGAAGAACTGTTCCACTCAAAACGTTTTGCCGCTTTTTTCACCGCCATGACTTGTGACTTCTACTGCAGCGCCTTACCGACGTATTACTATCAACTGTCGTATGTATGCGTCAAGACAGCACAGTCAAAAATTCACATTCATTCATCCTCTTACAGGCCACGCTATATAGCAAATAATAGATGACCAATAGCTTTGCTGCCGCTACGCGGCAACATGCAGTGACTTAGATAAATATGGAACAATCAATAAGTAATTGTACTTTCGTAATAAGCATGCTCACATACCCCTTGCCAATTTTTCCGTTCAGAGCGCAAAACGCCAAGAATTAATAAGTCAATTACGCTCATCAGCAGTTTTTTTTTGTGAAAAAGCTTAGTGAAAGCGCCAAAGTCAATTTCGAAATTTGGTGCAGAAACCCTGATATGTACTGATATTCTCAAGAGTTATAACGCTGTGCTGAAATTTAAGCATACTTTTGCTAGAGTGCAATGGATGGATGGTGGATATGAAAATGTTGTGACTTTCTATACGATCGTGATCCTCGAATCGAGCTCTATTCGAGCGTTTTTCGCTGCGCGCTTTATCTTTTCCAAGACGAAAGCATAAATTCCACAGTTAAAAGATAGAAATTCAAAACTGTACTCAGCCCCACGGGCATGCAGTTCCTTCTACTTACTACTTGACAAAAAGCTTCCTTCAGCTGCAAATAAGTTCTTCGGCTGATCGCTGAAAACACAAGTGCTTCACTTTTCTAATACAGTTGCGCTCCTAACACTTAGGGTAAAGGATTGTGGTTATTTTTTTTCTTTTGGGACGCATTTACCATAGAAAATCCTTCAAATGTATTTACTTTCTTAGATCAAATTCCAAAACTAGCGTGTACCTCGCTGAACTGTTGAAAGTCTAACAATTCGGAAGATATTTTTCAGAACTTCATAACGTTATCTCAGTGAAATGGTGGAAGTCTAACGACTGGAATATATTAAACTAGTTGACTTACCCGGCTCCGCCCGGCCGCCCTGTCATTATTATATTCGTAATCAGCATGCTCGATTACTCCCTGTGCCAACTCCCAGCCCCGTAGCTCAAATTTTGTAAAAAATCGATAAAATCGATATCGATCGATGACGAAAAGTAGCCTATGACACCCGCCGGGGCCCGAAGTGTATGTGTGCCAAGTTTGGTCCGGATCGGTTCGGAAATGGAATTTTCTATTCGGAACATACGTACAGACATACAGTGACCGCCAAAAAGATGCGGACAAGCCTCCCTCGTTTTTTCATCGCTCATTTCCAGATGGAAAACAAAGATGAAAAAATAATCTGATTGCATGTGGTGATAGAGCTCATCAAGAGCTACAACCTACACATCGCGCTTTCTGGAAACATGTATTATAAAAATTTTAAAGATGTTTTTCTGAAAAAAGTCCGAAAATGGACGCGTCACAATTTCGCGGACATTAATTCTTCGAACGCGAAAATTTTCTTTTAGGCCTTTTCTTGGGGCAAAAACAGAAGTTTTCCGGACAGTTAAGCATAGTATATTGTAGAACTCATCGAAGACAATAATATGGTAGTGATTACTTTCAAAAAAACTCAAGCTTGAATTTTATTTTGCTTCTTTTCAAAAAATAACTTCTAATTCCCTGCTTCAAGCCAAATTTCTTCACCTGGAAACCCATTCAAGCATCCAAACGAAGCTATTCGGATAAAATGGATGCCCTTTGTTATCTTCTATGCATCGGACGTGTGCTGGAGAGTTTCTTTGTCAAAAATGGCTCTTGACAGTTCGTGCACATGACCCCACCTGCACCTCACCACTGACCTGCACGGCTTTGCAGGCTTGTAACTCAGCCGGCAGTCACTCTACGAGACTGCAAGTAGGCTCATTCGAAAGAGCATGCGAAAGGGTTGGGTATGACAAACAGCGGAGAAATGGCGGATGGGGTGTCAAAGCGCAGCACTGGAGATGAATGGAGTGAAGGCTCCTATCAACACAAGAACAGTCTTAGATCTCCGAAATGGATCTACTACACGAAAATTGACAGTTTTGAACTCCTAAAATGAAATTGGTAGCGAAAGCCCTTTCTAACTTTAGCTGAAAAATCCTTAGCCTACCACTGAAGCTGCGCTTTGACACCCCATCCGCCATTTCACCGCTGTTTATCATACCCAACTCTTTCGCACACCATCGTATCCAGGAAGTCATGCTCTTTCGAATGAGCCCACTTGCAAGCTCGTAGAATGACTGCCGGCCACGCAGCAGCACTTTGACCCAATCGAAGATCGAAGCAAAAAATCAAAAAAGATCCAAGCGCCTCAAAAAACCAAGAGGAAATTAGAAGTCCTTTCAAAAAATTCTTCAAAATTTCTAACATGCTCATGCATTGTCATTTCTTGTAAGACTTTTCTCTATGCAGTTGCTGTAGTTTTCTCTCAGCTAGAAATTGGAAAAAACGAAGTTTTTCATGTTTTTTTCAAAACACTGCTGAGATGTTCTAGCACTGACAGTTGTATACTATAGGATCTTAGAAGCGTTGTGAATTTTCAGCTTTTTACAGCAGCTGGTTTACGAGAAATATCGAATTTTTAGCAATTAGACAAGAAAAATTTGGATAAGGAGAGTAGATTCGTCATTTCTCGTGAACTAGCAGTTCTAGAAGGCTGAAAATGTAAAGTTTCACTGCTAACGGCATGTACTATACAACTGTTAGTGCTAGAACATCTCAGCACTAATTTGGCAAAAACCTAAAAACTTCGTTTTCTCATCGTCTAGCTGAGAACAAAAATACAGCAACCGCATAGATAAATGCCTTACGTGGAATGTCTACGCTTGAGCAAGAAAGAAATTTTGTAAGAGCTTTTTGAACGAACTTAAAATTTTGTTTTGATTGGTCATACGGTTTTCGAACGCATGGTTTTTTTCAGTTTTCGGCTCAAAACTTCGCTTGAACCTAAGCTGATGCAGATATTTGAGCACTATCTTGTAGAGCTAGCTTTGCTTTATCTAATGATTTATCGAATCCTATTTGGGAAATAGGATTATTCCAGATTATTGCGGTCTGTACGTGATATCACAAATAAGTCCATATTGTACCGTCTCGCTTTCGACGTCGGTAGCATCAAAGGCTGCTATTTATGATAGGAATCTTTTGGCCTTGAATGTGACTTTTTCTACGTCTACGTGCTATCCCAGTTCTAACAAACAGTTTTCATCAAAGCGATCCAAAAACAGTTTCAGCTGATGTCTCATCTCATTGCAGAGGATGCTTCAAAAAAAGAGGACGCATTTATGTATTAAGTGGTAAGTGGTATTAAGTCGATATATAAGTCTTGCTACACTCTTTGTCTTACCTTGAAAAACTCAAAACTCGACCAGCTCTCATATTTGGCATAAATTAGGGTGTTCCAAAATAGTCAAAACGTTTAAGTTGTAATAACTTTCTCGTACGAAATGCTTTCGATTTCCTTTAAACGCGTGTTTTGAAGCTATCTTCAGCTTTTGTAAGGATAGTGTAGAGCAACTCACCGATTACTGTAAGATTACTATAGAAACTTAGAACACAGCGTCAGTTGTAAACTAGCCGTGTTTTGAAAAAAATTCAAAAATTTGAAGTTGTGTACGAGGGGTTTTCGCCCGCGCTGATCTCATTACTCAACTTTTCCCAAGTCTGTGAAGCTTTCCAATAACGGAAGGTGGAAATTGGCCAAAAATAAATCAAAAAGTTCAAAAATCTGAAAAATGGATTTTTCGTGTTTTGACATGGATATGCCAAAAAACCCACACTCTCTCACAAATTTGGAAATGAGGAGCAACTTTATTGTGGAGGTTATGAATACATACCATTTAAGTATAGCAAAACTTATCTGTCAACCTAATATTTGATCTACAGAAAGAGTTACGAGAGGGTTGGCAGCTTGCGTAAAGATGATAGATTATTTTATGATTATGACATCACGGTTCCGAAACAGTATGATTGATTGAGAACTCCAGAGTTTTTCTTTGGAAATTGTTGAGCCAAAAGTACATACATAGTTTTCTGCGGTCACAGTGAAAATTGACCAGAACTAAGCGTAAATAATGGGAAAAAGAGTTGACAAGTAGTGGACAAGTTATTGGTAAGTGGTTTCAGATTGAAATCGGACAAGAAGTTCGATCGACAACAAGTTTAGAGAAAACTTCTCAACGAAGCCCAATTTGTTTGACCTCGAACTTTAACATGATGTTTATTTCTGCTAGTAAATTACAGTACACCATTAGGGACCATAAAGCTGTCACACCAGCTTTTATCTTCTTTTCCCAAAGAAAGCTGGGAAATTCTTCTTTTTGTAGTGTTGGTAAGACACAATTTGCATCGAAAAGCTGTGTAGCGGGATTTTTAGGTGATTTCATCACACAACTGCTCAAAGGATTTCACAACTTTTATAATTGTATAACCACATTTTTGAGGAGAAAAAGCAACAAAAAGCAGCCGTGTATATCCTGCTTGTCCTATAAAAAACCACTATGGTATAGTGTGAATTTCATATCTGAAATCAGCAACTCCAATTAGCTAATTGTAAGGGTTTGGGCTCGCCTGCTTTCATTCTTGAAAGGAATGTTGTCCATAATAGCTTGAAGCACTCTTCAAAGGTTCTACCGTAACCCTACAGTAACGAAAAGAAATAGCTAACTTACCTCATTAACACTAAGCTGAATATAGCTTCACAGAATAGCAATTTGGGGATAGAAGGATAGGTGAAAATCTGAGCAAGAAAGTTAACAATGATCCAACAATGTGCAGATTTCTTGGCAATTAACATACTTATCTGTGTGTGCAATTAACATACTTATCTAAAGCAATTAAGAACACATCCTTTTATTCATTTTGTAAACAGCATATAGTTGAAGATTTTATCAAACGAGCTAACAATACAACAATTATCCTTGCTCTTTTCGTCGATTCCAAAGATTTCGCCAAGCTTGATTGATAAAACCCAGAGTGTTCATGCGTCGAGTCGTAAATCTTCGCCTGCGATTGTGGTACTCTTGTCGACTCCTTGGTCTAAAAAAGATTTGAATTAGCAAAATTAATCTTCTAGAAAAACACTCTTTGGTGAATGTTTGGTAGTCTTCGGTCATCCGGACCCATTTTTTCAAATAAGGGTAAGTTCTACTTTGTACCATATGTGGTAGCAGCTTCACAGGAGGAAGTATCAACTTTCTGCCACTGTCGAAAATTGTTGACATGTCACATACATGTTTAACAGGCTTTACCAAGAATTTGTATTACCCTACCCAGCGACGTAAGTTCAATCTTTTTTTTTGATTTTTTGATCTCAACTCGATCAAGCAATTTCAGAATTAACGTTGTCATAATGATAACGAAATACTAATATCGATGAACATACTAAACTTGCTCGGAATAGAGAAGTGCGCTAGGATTGCGTCATTTAAGAGGTGAAATACGCAGCAGCGAGGTATTTCAAGCTTCATTTATAGCCTTTTCTGGTAAAATCCACAAAGCAAAAAGGATCTGAAGAAAAAGGCCTTTTTGAATCACTGCTGAAAGCAATCAATATCTTCTTAAATATGTTCAAGACTGCTCTCCCCTCCTCTCTTCTCTCTGCTCTCTTTGCTCTCATAGAAAACAGCTAGACAGCTTCAAGAAGATTACAAATTCTCTTTTCCTCACCGGAAATGATTTTGAAATAAACATGTCAAAATGGACCAGAACGTGTTAATTTTTTTGTGCCAAGTCACAAGGAGGCAGTCCTCGTGAATTCTGAAAAAAATAATCTTGAACTAAAGAACGTATTATATAGGAGCCTTTTGATAAAATGGGTCCGGATAATGGAAAAGTACAGATTGTTCTAATATTGCATCCTCTCTGGCGTGGATTGATTCTTGTTCATTTAACTTCATAAAATATCTATAGCTTGAGCATGATATCTAATACCAATAACTCAATTTCAAAGTGGCGCCCATACACATTTTAGGCTATCCAATAAGTTCAAAAAGAAGCTAGTTAGATTTACGTATGAGAATCTATTTACATTACAAATGAACTAAGTGTAGTAGCCTATGATTCGACTATCGATTTCAACAATAATTTTATCCTATACATTCGCCTGTCATGTTCAAAACACTTTTTGTACAGCCGAAGCTCCGAAAAAAGAAAGGACTCTGCACAGGAAATGCTTGACCTTATTTCACAACATTTGGTTGACTTATGGGTTAAAGACAGTGTCCAGACAAATCTGGGAGCATGGGATTTTTGTCTGGCATCTGATGAGGATTCTTGGCTAAAGGAGCAAGACGATTCATTCATGGCTGAGAATTCCATCACTAAATACTCTGCTCCTGCGCGGTGACCGTAACTCGCGAGTGAAAGATGGGTCCTAGCGCGAATGTAGTGTTAAAATGAGCGAAGTCATTCTCGCAGGCGCGAAAGGTTTGGGGACGGATTTTCCAGCCGTGAACGAATCACCTGCGTTGCCGCTTGAGCAGTGCCTTAGTTAGGACCCCCTTCGACGGTTTCCAATCAAGGAACCCATATGCCCAAATTTGCCTGGACACTACCTTTAAAGGCAGTGTTTTGGAAGAATTTCGTTTTCCGGTTTTTCACCTTTTCGAGCCTTCCGCCATGAGGAACTCTATCTGAGCTTTTCACTGTATGAAAATGCCGAAAATAGCTTTCTCCGAGGTTTTCCAGGTCCGCAATCAGTGGAGCATAAGTGTAAGTGGGCGGAAAGACTTCCGGCGCACCTTCACTGAGGCGGACCTGGAAAGTTTTGGAAAAGCTCATTTTCGCCGTTTTTATGCGCTAAAAAGCTCAGATATGAGTTCCTCATGGCGAAGGCTCCGAATAGGTGAAAAACTGGAGGACGCAATCCTGCCGAGACACTGCATTCAAGTATTTTAGGGATTGGATATTGAGACTGAATTCCTTTTACAGTATAAATTGAATCAAGCTGAGAAAAGCCTTTATTTGTGAATGCTAGCTCAAAAAGTATTTATACATTGTTGCAAAAAATCCAGCGAATATTAGTGGCCGCCCAAGGCTCCTCCAAATCTCGTAGCAATACCGAGCTTGAATCTACATTTGACTAAAAATAATTTGAAAAAGCATGGTAAAAACTACTGGCAACTCAATCAAAACCTGCGCATATTTTTCTTGAGTAAAGTACGACTTCATCTGCTCAAGAGCACATGGAGTAAAACAAAATTTTCTTCAAATTTCTTAGTACAAATGTTTTTTTTTCAGAAATTTTATGCGAAGGTTGTAGTAAATAATGTACAGTAATTGCTTTATTTCAAACTTCATGCTATGCTTTGAAATAGACGAGCAAATATATATTCCAAAGTACTTTTTGCAGTGATGTTGTAATTATATAGTGACACACAGTTGACTGCTTTATTTCACATTTTCTGCTATTTTTTTAAATTAGATGACCTTGCGAGCATGCATTGCTTGCGAACCGGTTCTCAACTTTTTTGAATGGTAACATCGTATCTCTCAGCGGACTTCGAAAGCCACCTTTGCAGAGTTGATTAAAAAAGTGGGACGGATTATGAAAGACGTACGTGCATTTGAAGAACCCTCTACAAATTTTACAGAAGTTTTAAAACTTTAGAGAGTTTTGCGCTGGGTTTGCACCGCACTGCTAGCCCAAAAACGCAAGAGGGGTACTGTTGATGCAAAGCAAGCTCTACAATGTGATATTAATTGTTCCTCTCCAAGTTTGTTCTAAGTGAAGATGAAAACCAAAATCTGAGTTCTAAATGTCCAAAAGATCGAAGAAAATCAGAGCTAAGTCCAAACTTACTATGGACCTCCCACTCGCAACATCTACACTATCGGCATCATACATACGCATCAGTGGCGTACCCAGGATTTCGGCTCGGGGGGGGGGGGGGGGGGGGGGGGGGCGGCAAAAAAAATTTTTAAATGAAGGTGCGTGGCGTTAGCCACGCACTCCGAAAAATGTTTAGGGGGCTTCTCAACAATTCTGCGGGCCCCCAACTCCTAAAATCTGGAAAAAGGGGGCGTGGCGTCAGCCACGCCCCCGAAAAAAATTTTTTTATAAGGCTAATTTGAATTTTTAAAAAATTTTAAAAATTATTTTAATTGTTTACAAAAATAAACAAGTCATTTGCACATTTTTATAACGCATGTAAGTAACTTTCAAAAATTTAGCGACCCGTTCTCGGGGGGGGGCGCGCCCCCCCCCCGCCCCCCCCCCTCGGTACGCCACTGATACGCATATACAGTCGCTATATATTCTTGAACTCGAATTCAAGAAATCGAAGATTTTCGTATTTTCTCAAAGCAGTGCTCGGCCGTTCTAACATAAAGGCTGCTGCATGATGAAGACGCAGTGGCGATTTTAGTTGAGCGGCGCGAACGCGACGCACGCGTAGCCTCACCGTTGTAGACCCGGCACCTCAAGCGCTCTGCGGCTAATAAAGCCGCGTGCGCGCCCGAAGATATAGCGCCTTCGTCATGCAGCAGCTTTTAAGTATGAGTATGAGTGTGAATTTGTAGCCATCTCTGTGCGCTGGTTTCCAAAAAATAGCAAATTTAGCTGCCCTTTTCTGGGTTTTTTTACTGAAATCGAAATTTCTCTCAAACTAGCGCGTGAAAGGCTGAAAATTAACGGTTATAATTACAAAGGTTTGTAGCATAGAATTATCTATGTGTTTCCGAAAGTGCTGTGTCGTTATGAAATAGATAATTCTATATCACAAGCACAACAAAATTATCGATTTTTCGCTTTTGAATTAAGAAAAACTACAGCAACTGTGTATATGATTGTATGATGTCGATAGTATAGATATGTGCGAGTGGAAGGTCCGTGGAAAGCTTTTGGATGGAGATCCAATTTTTCTCAAATGCTAATTTCAAATTTACACAGGAAAAAATCCTCATAACCAAGTTAAACATATTTTCTCAATTTTAAGTCACCTGAGGGGCTGAAGTGTTCGGTATGGACTTATCACACATGAGAAAACAATTTTTGAATTTATTCAATGCGTTTTTGCAGAGCTTGAATTCCGAGTTGCCCGTGTTAGTGGTGATGCTTTCGGTTGGGAAAAAAGAAAAAGAAGATTGAGGAAATAAAAATGGAAGAGGATTATTTCACAGAATTGTCTTTATAACTGCTGTAGGTTACGTGAATTAGGGTTGAATAACACTTGATATATGATAGATATTTCGACTTTTCGATTTCTCTGGAATTGTTCAAAGGAAAGCGAAGGTTATGTAGCAAAGCTTATGTTAAGCTTACATATACAGAGTGTCCCAAAAGTATGTATACACTGTTTGACCGTTAATATCTCTCTGTCCAAGAAGTCTTTTGCCTTGCTTCAGGCACCGTTTTGTAGAGCTGGCTTCAACTTCGACCTCTCTTCATCACTGTAGGATTACGGTAGAAACTTCAAAGAGGGTTCCGAGCCAAAGGCCATATTTTGCCTCAAAAAGAAAACCAAACAGCCTAAAAACTTTCACACTAGGCTAAGCAGGGTTGCCGATTCTAATTGTGAATCTCCAACTTATTATGATGCTTCATTGAAGAATTATACCAAGTAAGCAGTAGCGGCCATTTTTTTAATGTTCCTAAAAAGTGCGGTTACACCGTTTAAAAAAATTCGCAATCTTGTGAATGGTTGAGTATTGAACTCAGCGTCCATGAAGAACCCTATCACACAAGTTTTCACATTTTTTTTTTTGAAAATTTCTGGAACGGCAGCTTTTTCCACATTGACATTATATGTTTCAAGTTTCTACCGTAATCCTACAGTAATGCAGAGGAATGGGTGATTCGTTTTATAATGCAAATCTAAGTTGAAGCCAGTTCTACAAAACGGTACATGAAGCATGCAAAAAACATCTTGGGAAGAGAGATATTAACGATCAAACAGTGTACACATACTATTGGGACACCCTGTATTGATATATCAATATAAATTTGACCCCTTTTGTGTTTTTTTGAAGAAATATTCCCCCAAAATTTGTAGTATTATAGGACAACAATGTAAAGGTGCGAAATATTAGGTTGGAAACTAAGTTTTGCAACTGGTCTCATAACTTCCCTCTCACCTAACATGGTGCACTCAAATTTTGACACTGCGTTGGTTATTATGTAAGCTACAAGCGCAGCTGCTGTCCTACCAAATTCTGACGTCGCAGTAAGGGTTACGGTAGTTGCATGGTATGAAGGGGAAAAATTCAAAGTTTGACGGATTTGGCTGAAACTTGGCATACGGGTGTTATCCCACATGCTGATCACGAAAACGATAGTGAAATTGCGTGATAAGACTTTTTTGTAGGATTAATGTGTACGATGGGGTCTCACCCTAAAAACAAATGAATATGATATTCGCGTTTGGCAGGTCAAATAACTTTACTATGTAAAGTCTCGGCGGAATTTGAGCTTCGGACTCTTTAGTCATTATAGTCGTCCCAAGCAGCTCTTGCGTACATCGGCTCGTTCGACTTTATGAGGACGCCAAATCTCGACATGTCCCTAAATTTTGTTTCTTTCTCACAAGACCAAAGGAGCCAACCTCCAGCAATAATTTGTGGACGAATCTGGATTACTGCGCATGGTCTAGGCTGCCAAAGGCTTCATTTTAGCTTAAAACCCCAAAAATTTTCAAATTTCACTAGTTTTCGAAAAACGTCTGAAACTTCTCTATTTCGTTTTCAAAATTTAGGCAATTTTGAAATCTCTTGTAGTTCACATTGCCCTCTACAAAATGCCAAAGTTTGGGTACGCCATATCCAAAGAGAGTGAAGTTATGAAACCAGTTGCAAAACTTAGTTCCCAGCCTAATAAATAGGTAATTGACGTTCGTCTGAAAGGTTAGCGCTTTAACTCTGCAAAACTGATTGATAGATTGTTAATAAACTATTCCATGATTCTCCTTTATCCGGTACTGACAAAATCTTCCTTACCTTCCTTCATTTTCTAAGTAGTCGGACTGGAAAGACTGTGAGAGGACAGTAGACAGAGCTAGAACGAACAATACGAGGATGTTGAGAAGACGCATCTGCAATATTTCATTAAAAATTATCTTTATATAGAATAATCGACTATATAATTTATTACATGCATATTTGACGTGCTGATGTAATTGGGATTCAATTAGAAGGACGCAAGGCGGATGCCAAAATTAGATACCAGTGGATAGCCAGATAATTAGTTTATACATATGCTTATTGCAGATTCGTAGCTTATGAAGTAAAAAAAACTCTATAACCTTTACGTAAAGGACGGAGGCGTATTCAAGGATTGAAAAAATGCAATCATGTTCTACTCTTTTATTAATTCGGCATTTTGTGTCAAAGAATGGATTACGATTACTATGGCTATTTTTATAATTAATTATGCGCAATTTACAAGGACAACAAGGACCTCAATGTCAACACGATGCTCTGTCAATAAATTTTCTTGCCCCCCCCCCCCCCTCTCCTCTGCGCATCTAGAAATTGAATTGGAATGTAAAAATTTCTTAACTATGTTTGAGAATGTAAACCTGAAAAGGAAGCAACACTACATGAAAGTTCATACTATCTTGAGAGGAGAGTCATAGAATGAATGTGGGACATGTTCTTTTCAAATTTTCTTCACGATTCATTTAGTCTCAGACATAAAAGCTGATGGAAGGGCCTTGAGCTTGGCAAAGAAGAAATTCGATGCTCTATGCCATCAGTACTGCAAAAGAGTTCGAAGCTCAGTTGGAACAAATGTCACATTGAAAATTGCGGAAATTTTGAAGGGTATTTTGAGTTTTTGCATATCTATTGATATTCCAAACATAGGCTAGTCTGAAATTCTGCATCATATATTAGGTTGATTCATAATTAATGCACGTTTTCTATACTTCAACTTTCAACCGAGATAATTCTTTTTTGAAAACACATTTCTGGGCGCAATAAAAACTACTATAACCATCAAATCAGTGGCTATAAAACAGATACTTTTGCGTGACTGTATCTACTACGAGAAAGATTTTCTGGCCTGAAGATTGCCAACAACTTTTTTTAGAAGCCTCTACTTTGAGAGAGCACATCTCATGTTGAAATGAAGTAGGATGAAGCAGACTTCGCTCATCGTGTAGCCAAGGGTCTCTTGAGCAGTAATGCCAAGTTTGGATTTTACGGAAAGTTTTTGAAAGAAAATACCGCGAAAAAGTCGATATTACTCACTTTTATCTGACATCTCGGCGGGTTCAAAAATCGGTCATTTCTGAAAATATTTCATTTTCTCCGCTGGAAAATGAGAAAATCCTGACGCTTTTCTACCATCAAATGAACTAGGTCTACCCTTGCTGGACAGTGCAAAAGACCTGCAATCGCCTTTTGATTCAAAGATTTATATGGCACGGAATGGCCGCGACGATCATTCAAGTTCGCAATTGAATTTCTTGGCTCAGATTCCATGGAATATTTTGTTCAAAAAACATCTTGTAACACAAAGTTTCTTAATCCTTACGCATATTTTTTGAAATTAATCCAGCTATTCCTCATGGACTTAGGGCAAAAAGAGTGAAGAGCAAAAATTTTGGGATTTAGTCTCTCTTATCTGAAGGCTCAGAACCTTGGAATGAAAGGAGATTTACGAAAGAGAAGGGCCGCATAAGAAACTAGAAAAAACGCTCTTTTAACTAGCTTAACAGATTTTTGAGGAATTGGTTACACATCAAATACCAGCTCTTGGAAGAAGAGGTAGGAAAAATGTGCATTAATTATGAATCAACCTAATAGTAATGACTAGATGAGGAACTTGAAGTAGAAAAGATACTGCTATTTTACATGTCTGGCTAACGTTTATTTTCGGTATTAGATTTTTTCTTACTTTACTCTTGGACTTGCAAAGACTCATCAAGTTTCGAATACAAAAGAGCATATCAGTTTTGATAACCCTACCCAAAAATCACTCCATCAGATAATCATACAAGATGAAAAAGTTCCAGAGCCACAAACCAATTAAAGTATTTTTCAGCAATAAGACAGGCAGCGATACCATACTCTAGACATTGGCGAATACATTTCAGTCAAAATTTCGAAAACAAAGACTTGCGAGACTTTAACGGCAACATCAGCAAAAACCATCAGATTAAATCTGTCTTAATTTGACAGACGTTTGTGATCTACCCTGAAATGAAATGCGCATTTGTTGTGGCGGGATGACAAACACAATTCTTGTGGAAACATTGATAATGACCTTCAAAGCCACAGATTCTGCATGACTACTGGCAGACGGTTGGCAGTAGAGATCACGAAGTTATTTTTGGGTTGGTCTTTTTGCACCAGACATTCTATAGCGTAAAAGAAAATAACCACCTTGATAATGTATAATAGAAGGGCTCTTAAATAAACATTTGCCTAAGTCTCGTCGCAAAAGATGATATCTGAAGCGATAAAACCGATCCAGAAGGTTAAGCAGCCACGATGACTCCGCCAATCAACGTGAGTGGTCTGAAGAAAAGTTCAAACTTGATCTATTGCAATTCAATTTGTCATAAGCTCACCATGGTCAAGGAATGTGCAATGTTCCCATTTACCTTGATGCCAGTGGCATACCGAAGGGAAGGCCCCTCCCCCCTCTCGAGAATGAATCGCGAAATTTTTAATAGTTACTTACATGAATTATAAAAATGTGCAAAAGACTTATTTATACTTGTAAGTAATTGAAATAATTTTTAAAATTTTTTAAAAATTCAATTTAGCTTTATAAAAAAGTTTTTCTTGAGAGTGGCTGAGATCAAGCTCCCTTTTGCTAAAATTTTGCGGTTATGGGCCCGCGAAAATTTTGAGAATGGCACTAAAAATTTTTCTGAGTGCACGGCTAACGCCAGCACCTTCATCAGAAAAAAATTCTTTTGTCCCCCCCCCCGAACGGAAATCCTGGGTACGCCACAGCTTGACGCCCAATCTCGGACTTTGACCTTCAGACCACCCACGTTGATGAGCAGAGTTATATCGGGTAGCTTCTACCTCTACAGCGTTTTTCGCTTTGAGAATCATTTTTTGCAGCAAGATTTGGGGATGTGCTTAGACAGGGGTCCCGCTATTATATAATACTTGCTGGCATACCCGGCTCTGCCCGGCCCTGTCAAAACACTATGATAAATGTTCCATCCCTATCCCTGTACAACCCTTCCCAGTGCCCACTTCTACACTTCATTTCCCGTTCCCTGTGTTTTTTCGAAATCAGCAAGCTCGATTACCCTTCTGTGTCAACTCCCAACCCTTTGACTCAAATTTTGAAAAAATCGAGAAAATCGATAAAAGTAATAGGCAATACCAGAAACTAATATTGTATTCGTAATCAGCATGCTGGATTACCCTCTGTGCCAACTCCCAGCCCCTAGGTCGAAATCTGCAAAAAGTCGATAAAAATCGATAAAATCGATGACGAGAAGTAGCCTATGACACCCGTCCGCCCCAAGTGTATGTGTGCCGAACTTGGTCCGAATCGGTTCAGAAATAGAAATTTCTATTCGGAACATACATACTTGCGGACATACATACAGACAGACAAACAGACATTCGGCTTTATATATGAGATCAGAATCTCGTCCCCCCCCCCCATTTTGCATGTGGATGGTGCTTTTATGCAGACTTTACAGAGATTTGTATTTTCAACCTTGTCGCGAAAGTTCAAAAAAAATTGTACGTGGCCAGTTTCGCTTTTCCTTGTTTTTCCAGCATTTGTATTATGAATGTCTCTACCGTTTTTATACCAGAAAAAAACGTCATTTATGAAGCACGCAAAAATCATTTGATATCTGGCTTATGATAAGTCCGTCAAAAATGTAGGCTTTCAAATGCAAAATTTTTGATTTTCTTGAAACTACAAAAGCTTAGAGTAGCTGTGCATTAGTTAAAACAGCTATTCGAATAAGAACGGCTGAAAAAGAAAAGCGCCATTTAGGCAGTGCGCTGAACCACTAGGAGATCAAACCAGAAGGGTAGAAGAGAGGTTTGGAGAATTCCAGAAGCTGGAAAGAGCAAGATCGAATGAATTACAAAAAAAACCAAATAACCTATATTTTACACTTTTGTGGAAACTATATGAATTCCAAAAAGTCCTTCTACCTTCCAAAAGGCGAAAATATTTGCGAGGTTTTCGGATAATCTCTTACAAATAGTCATTGGCAAAATAAGTACACCATAACTTCTTACTTTAGAGGACTATGCGAACCTAGTAAATGTAAATTTATAGCAGAGAACTGAGAAAAAAATGATAAAAAAATAAATGTGAAATAAGAAATAGTTATGACAAAAAGTGTAAAGCCACAAAATTCACAAAACATGGTAAGAAGGAAAATATAAGATACTCAATTAATAATTAGCTGAAAAGCAGGCTTTAGCTTTGAATGACATACGAATTCGCCACTAGTTTGAAAAAATTGTTAAGATCAAGATTAAATCGCTGTAGCTCTGTGAAGAGTTTTCATAAAATTCTAAAGAACACTATGTTGACGGTGATATCGTGCTACTAATCACATGGATCTATCACGAAGTATCCAAAGCCAGCAGCACGCAAAGAAGGGGAAAAAGGTGGTTTTAGATCCTTAATTTCACCAGAGATTCTTCCAAACATACTACGTAGCGCCCACTGACATGTCATGAGTTATTAATATGTCACAAAAGTCTCTTTTTGCTTGTTTGTTATGTGGTAGATATGATTTTGAAACTACACCATACACGGGAACTTCCGCAGCACAAAAATCACACTAGGGATATGAACTTGAGTGGAAGAATTTGAGCCTTTCACATCTATATCAAATCTCAAACAAACCGGCAAACTTCCCAACTTTCTGGAGCCAAAATTGTGTAACCTTTGATTATTCAACCGGCTCGGCGGCTGGAAGGCGGTGCTTTGTGACCTAATTAAGGCCGCTCGCCGTTACGCAGTCTGCGTCTCTCTCACGCGCGTGCTTTATGATCGTTATATAGCCTTGGGAAAGGGTCAAGAGGCGCGATTTCTCCGCCTGTCACGAACTCAGAGCTCCTGTTTTGTGCTATGCGAGTCTTCAAA